ACTGCAGAAACAATGTTTTAGAAATTTTTTTCCATTGAATAATTTCAATGAAATCTGTGCTTTATTCGAAATTTACAGGTACCTACATCATTATGATTTTCAGGTAAATTAATTCAAATTCAGCAATTTTCAATTTTTAAGAAATAATTACAATACTTTATGATATGAACTGAATAAAGTTTTATACGTTTCATGGTTTTCCATAAACAAATCATCGTCGATCAATCGCACAAATGGTGAATTTTCATTTTCATTGCTGACGACCATAGTATTATTTCCGTTTGTAAAATGGTACGATATAAATCTAGCACTGCAGCTGCACAAAAATACCATTGAGCCATTACCTGCTAAAATGATGCCTTGAATGAAGGGGCGACCACACGCGTGCGTGAAACGCAGTTTTGGACGAGTTATGCGCTTATTAGCCAAGTCGTAACAAGTTTACTACTACTGTAGACAGAATCTGTATATATTTTAACAATTGGGCGTGGTCCGTTTAATCTTGGTGGCTGCTCCTTTGGAACCAATTCTGGTTCTAAACATGAAATAAAGAACTTAATGCGAGAAAACGCTGTACAGGATTCAATAATTCAATAATGTTAGAAACTGTCCTTAATATTTACCGCCCTCAGTTCGTTTCCACTCAGTGTGATCTCAATGCTGGATAATATCTAATCTGTTCGACATGGTCGTCTCATATCGAATCTTAATGCTCATGTTGGAGCAGTGATACGCGGAATTAGGAATTCCTCTGTTGAACACACCCTTTAAACACGCTGCCATTTGTCAACACGAAAGGCCATACGACAGTTTAAAGAAACGGCTAACAAAACGAACCCTTTACATTGAGAAGATCCCTTATGGTTTCGGCGAAACCGACGGTGCACATGGCTGTTGAAGCGACGAGAGTCAAAGAGAATATCACACCGATGCTTCCGCCAAACTGGGGTCCAAGGGAGCGCGAAATCATGAAATAGGCGCCACCTAAATGTTAAAATTTTATAAGAACACCTGTCGAAGGATAAACCTCCAAACCGCCACCGAATCTTACCTCCTTTCAATTCACCGTTGGTGCAGATGGCACACATAGACAGCGCCGTAATATAACTTAACACGGAGCTTAACAAAATTATCAGACCGCTGAAAAGAATCCCTGCATGACCGGAGATCCAACTGATGCGCAGAAACATAATTGTGCCCAAAATACTTAACACACATCGCATCTGCAACGTAAAGAAGTGCAACGGAATTAACTAATTTTTCGGAGTAGCAACTTACGAACACGCCCTGAATCCATCCAAGCTTAGCAGAGGCACCTGAGACTCGAATTTCTTCACTTTCTGGAAGAACATTCTAAAAAATAATTTAATAACTAACACGGCCTGTATGAACAAGTACTTACATAAATTAAATAAACAAATACCTAAAAGTACACAAGTATATCGTATTATCATACGTAGTACACATGGCTCGATGCATCTGATCCTGTATATCAGTACTACGATGCACTGTCTCATGAACGTAGTTATATATCGTAGACCCAGCTGATATATCAATTAGGACGATGTAGCAAAATGGTACGTCATTTGTTTCACATTGGTACCACACTCTACTATGTAGTGTGAGTAGCTACGCAACACCATACTCCGATATGCATAAAGCATATTATTAGTACTACGCTATATACGTAATATATGAAGTCATACTTTTCAGCATATTGATATTACACTTACATCATAAGAATTAATACAATACATGGCATACTAAAGTGTGTAAGGTACTGTACCATTATCACACTTTACCCCTATGCAGTTATGCACCACGGTCATAATAGTACCACACTTACTACACGCGTAGCATAGCTTGGTACAAACATGATACAGTGCATCTCAATCTACTTCGCATACTCAAATATACTATGGATGAAACTAGTACTTCATAGTACTATGCAAGTAGTTATGCATAGTATGCAGATAACACACCCATTAAATGCGCAACGCATTGTAGTAGACACAACGCAACGCATTGTAGTAGCCACATTAAGCATGATACGTGAAGCATGTAGTTATTCAAAATCATACATACTGATATGATACTAACTACCTGCATAGTACACCGTGGTACTAATACAATACACAGTACATACCAGTATGCTATGCATTGTAATCGTACTGCACTGAGTATGCAACATGAATGAAGTTACCTGCAACAGCACATACTGATATCACATGCAGTATTAACATCACACACGGGGTACTGGTGGGTATGATTATGTATTATGCAAGTACTCGAGTGTACTCTGCACGTTGTAAGTGTCGCAAAAGCACGTATCATGCAAGGTAAATGCATGCGCAGAACACTGATATGTATAACGTACCTTATTGGTACCACACTGAAGCATCCGGATACGTTGTAGTACCTCGATGTATATACAACATAGGAGTGTATGAACTAACACTTACGCATAACATCAGTGAACTTATCCATCATAATACACATTAATATATTACTTAATGCCGTGTCGTACAAACATGATAGGAAGCATATTGATATGTACGATGCATCACTATAGTAAGGAATCATGTTATGCAGGTAGTGAATATCACATTAGTACAAACAATTACGCAGAACAACGTGCGTAGTGCAGATTGGTTCTAAAACAATACATCGAACGTACCAGTACGTACAACGCACTACACATGCAGCTATGAGTCATCGCAGATGCCGATACATACTTATTGCACATTGAGTACCTTGTACTACTGGTAACACGCATCACAGTACATATCAGTTATGCTGTGTATCACATTGCGAATGCACTGTATGTGGAACATTTAGTTATGTATTATAGCTATATATTTCATATGATACTTAATATCCTGTGGTAATGATACAACACAGGTTACTGATACATACAATGATGCATCATAAAGGTAGTGCAATGTACTCTAGGTGTAATAACTGCCATATCAGCATGTATGACGATACACAGGTGCACGCGTAACTTATCACGTATAGCATTTTCATATGTACTATGCATTATATTACACAGAACTGCACTACGAATACAGTTACGTCTAGTACATGGATTCATGTTGTACGTACACACAAGTATTGCAGTGTGAACTGCAGGTAAGAAAAATCGTATAAACGTGTATCAATATTTAAATATATGCATAACATGGTGTAGTACTAAGGCAATACATCGTACACATCAGTATGATAAATACAAAATTAATAATACAATGTATCAAAAACACATGCATAAGCATGCATCTATATCACATGTTACATACTGATACGAAAACTACTACAAGCAGAGCACATCTTAGTACAACTATTATGCACCATTGTACGTATCAGTATCTAGTGTGTAATATAATTACGTGGTATTTTCCATCACATAAATGTGATACGTAACTTGATTCATGCTACATACACAGTGGAGTAGTAATATGCACGGGGTAATCAGTTACTACCACACTCTACAATGCACATAGTTATTCAAAATCATACATAATGATATGACACTAGTTGCGTAGAACAGTATGGTACTAACATACAGACTCAACCATGCACAATGATATGCAGAATATTTCACAGTAGTGCAACAATGTACCACGCATGGAGCTATGTGTAATCGTGCATGTTGGGACACCGTATGTGCTAGATTACGCTATCTATATAACAAATAATACGCAAATAAAAATACTATGCAAAATATATACCCCAAATGCGTAAGCATATCTTACGTGCATTATTTTTGTTAAATAAATCATATTTTAATTATTCAGAGACAAAGGCACTGATTTCATTTTTTGTGCGAATTACGAGGGTAGTTTTGTATGAAAATCACAAAAGTCGTTGAGTTATGGATGACCTTGAAAGAGACGATTTCTCCTTCCTTCTCGTAGGTCTTTTCGTGCAGCTGCGCGAGCGAAGGTCGAGAGGCGATCGCGCCCTCGATCGACATCACGTTGCGGTAATGGTCGACGTTCGGCACGCGCTCCATCGTCTGCACGTTGCGAAAGCTTTTCAGGTTGGTCGCATCGTTGGTTGTAGTGGTATACTGGCAGAATAAGTCGACGCTTTGGAAAGTGTCCCGTCGAGAGCTGGCCAATCCCGACGACATGTCATTTTTGTTGTCCTCGACCTTGTCCACGGTCTCAGCGATTGAGAACTTCACCTGTTTCGCCTCACTGACAGCCACTCGGCCGGCGTCCCCGACTTCGTAATCATTCTCGATCATGTTCAACGCCTCATTTGAATCGCTGACGGTCGCAACCCGGTTGACTAAGAACCGCGAAGAGTTTCGCGAAATGTTGCCTCCTCCTTGACACGGTCCTTCGTCGTCGCTCATACCTTAAATAAATTCATGACTAGTAGTGACAGTAAACACAGTGAACATTGGCATATGTATTACTTTACATACTGCTGTTCCAATAGGCATTTTACGGTGATAATTAATCAAAACTGCATATTATGCAACCAAAATTCAAATCTGAAAGAAATCGAATCTAAGGAATTACAAAACTGTCGAGAAAATTACATTCATGCGTTCATTACATCAGTATAAAAGGACTGGAGAGTAGAGACCGTATTTATTTCTAAACAGGAAATTAAATCATTACTGTTTGGATAAAAGATAACTTATACTGATAGTCTCTTTTTAACGGCCAACTATAAATTTTAATAACAACATTACGGAAGCGTACAAACACCATGAGGGAACACATAGCGTGCATTAGCGGAGCTTACGCCGAACGTAGCATCATCCGCCATTTAACCAGTATGGTCAGAAAAGAATCCAACTGGGCAAAAAGAAAAATACTGGAAGATATCAAAATGCAGCCAACCAACATATATAGTCAGAGAAGAGACATGATTACAAACGTATTCCTTAACTATCAATATATTGTTTATATAACAATATATCAACATATTGTGTCCCCTTCATCGTTTAAGCTCTCGTTTCTTTTGCTACGTAAATAAATCTTTAACAAAGAGGTAGACCAAGATAATAAATAAACCCCTAGGAAACTAGGAGCCAAGGGAAACGTTGCAGTACGTCGCGAAATAAGGCCTTGGATGAAATGTGTCAATTAAAATGTTTTGGTTTACGACCTTATAATGAGTACAGGCACTGAAAATACTATTCCAGATGAGTGCGAAAGGGCTCTAGCAAACTTCAAAATGAAGCAAAATGCGTCTAGCTCTAAAGAAGCTTAAATGCCATTGAGCCGTGACGTATAAATGCCCCCTAAGTAGAAAGCTAGCAGAAGGAAAGTGGTGCAATACGCGGTGAAAACCGATCTTGCAGAACCTGTGCAGCATTTAACCGTAACAAGCATGGCACTAGTAATAGTTTTTGTTGTTTGGCTAATTAGAAATTTGATAGTTTCCAGGTCGTAAGTAGAATTATTTAGAAATTAAAATCAATGCTAAACTAAATACTACATACCCATACAATTAGGCAGGATATTCTATTTTTATCAGACTGCATCGGAGACGACGCCGGATGCCGTACAAGCATTCCGACTGGATCGAATAAATGCCAAATCCATGCACATTCTTCAGCTTTGTGATGCCATTTTATTTCGAAGGACATCTTCTTACCCTGGTCACCTATGTTCTACCAGCCTTTTGCATCAATATCTGCTTTCCACAACAGCTACCACTAATTCCTTGGCGATCGCCTGCCATCTTAAATTTCCTTGTTTCAAGCCAATCGGTAATTTATGCTCAGCATTCTAATTTCATTCATACAACAGTATTTGATCTCAAATCGTATCACCTCACTTAATGATAATCATTGTAAAATCAATACTTCTGATGTTTCCAGTAATCCGTTCACAATTTAGTTAACTGCTGCCTTCTGCAAGCACTAGAGAAAGATGTTCAAAACGCATACCCCATGTATGCGCACGTTTGTCTTATTGCCAGTATCTTTGCCCTTCCAGTGGTACAGCAATTCTAACATCATCTGTCGTTTGTCCATCACTATCCAATGTACTGCTAAGATACAGACGTTCTGGTAGTCGTTCCACAAGTTCGTTGTCAAGAGTCAGACACCCTTTGCTCTGGACTCTACCGATTTCTATGCATTTCGTCTTTAGGTTTATCGAATTAATTAAAGTGAATTTTTTTAACGAAAAAAAAAACTTTTCTGCCAATTACAACAGGTGGTGGCTTTCAATGTTCCTGCTGGACAGAACTTCAAAAAAACAGTGTCGAATCGCATACAACTCTGACATTCGATCAGTTACCTCTCTTTTTACTGCTATTTGCCAGCTACATCATATGCAAGGAGAAGTACAGTTTCTGAAAAGAGGCAGAAGAAACATCAACAGAAACGAAAAGAATCATAAACCCTTAACAATTACTAGAAATGAAGCACAAGAAGTGGGAAACTATCAACACCATAAAACTCATTACGATAACTTCATATATATAGCCTGACAGTCAGCGTCGTGTTTTACCTTACTTAAAAATACCTGGTATTTCGGAAGTGACCAAAACGTACCTAACCTGTTTTACTACCTTCATTAATTCTACCTTCTGGCTCGGTCGATATAAAAATTCTCACTGATGCATCTGCGCGAGAGCTTTACCCGTGTTACGGAACCAAATGACTGTGAACTGGCAACTGCCACCTGTTCGAATTTCATCAAACAATGCGCGCAGTAGATCGATGCCTAGTCGGCAGTTGTTCGACTCATAATCGCCTAATGTATAACATCAGTAACGGTATTGAAGAAATAAATTGCCATGCAGCGAGACGAAGAAAGCACTTAGTAAAGCGAAACCGTATCCCTGGGCAAAGTTCGGTGAAGTGGCAGAGTCAAATTTTCGAACGACAAGCATGTTATTCGGACAGATTATT